TTCTATCAGCAAACACCACCTGACCAATATTTTATGCGCACACGGAGTCCAACAGATCCAACCATCATCCCTGCCAAGAGCTGCCAGACCTGCTAAACGTGGATTCTTACCTGGCCCATGGTTATGCTGTGCTCACACAGAAGCACCTTCCCTTGGCCACCTCTGACACCACACTGTGAGGCTGCTGGGATGCCTGAAACACTCTACCACGTTGTTTCAAATTACACTGATCACAGGGAGTTTCTCTGCAAAAGCCTTCCCAATTTGTTCATGTTAGGAGAGCAAGACTCGGAAGGATCTCAGTGGTAATGTAAATCATTCAAATACAATAAAATTTAATGGGACATTTGCTGTAAGAGCCAAGAGGGGGATGCCAAGAAATGCAGGAGCTGCTTGCTGTGTTACAAGAGTGCTCCAACCCTCATCCATTTCAGGAGAGCCCTACGAGTGTCAGAAGCTGTTTTCATTAATGCTACTCTCTCTAATTAAATGCAGATTTAAGAAAGCAATCTCTGCCTTGCAGCATTAACCGTACAGCAGGGATTCTGCAAAGACCCCTTCCTTCCAACCTGATCAAACAGGTCCGTGTTTACAGACGCAGCTTAGTTACCTAATCCACCTTTCTGGAAGAGGAAAAAAAGAAGCCTTCAAAGCTTCACAACCTGCTCAGCATGGCATGTTAATTCCACGCTGCAGAATGAACCTACCTTGAGCAGACAAGCACAAGATGCACTTGGTGCTTGCTTTGCTTGCCTGATGAGCTCAAAATCTGCCCACAGCTTCACTCTAAACAACTGGCCAAACAGACTTGAAGTAAGATATCAGCACCAGATAAAAGACATCCTGCCTGCAACACGTGCAGCCACTGAATATGGACTGTAATTTGGAAGGCATTCAAGGCACACATTTATGCACTCCCGTCAACCGCTGGATTTGATGCCATTCCCTTCCTGTAACTCACAGCACACTCAGGGCAATGGCAGGCACTTCCACACAGCACGTGCTATGGGCACGACTCAGCTCTGCACAGACTGCTCCTAATTCTTCTTAGGTCGTTCATAACAGAAGAGATGAATGTGTGATGATGTTCCTGGAATCCCACGCTCGCGGCACTGTCCAAAATAATGCTTTAGAAGCAGCAAAGGAGGTCTAAAGAACTTGGAAAGAAGATTAAAACGTCATAGCGTTGGCAGGAGCAGATACTGCTGCAGCAATATTGGGCTCTTAGCGCCAGATTAGCATATATAATTGACAAGCAATGGAGGGTTTCAGAAGCTAACAGTCAAATCAGCCATTTGATACCGAAGGGTAAAATTAGATGCAACTGGCTGCTTCCTCAAGCTTTCAGGGAGCAGATGACACTGCCAAGAAATAAGGGAATTATAGAATAACCTGTTATGCAGCACTTGGGTGGGAGGGCAGGCAGGGTGTGAGGATGTATGCAGGAAGAACAGCTTAGGACATGTGAAACACCAGTCAGAAACCAGTTCATGCCTGGAAGTACCATCATCCCATCTCCCTCCTCTACAGGGAATTTAATGCACGACACTTGGAAGTCCTATCAGATGTAGGAAACCTTTAAATTAACAGCTGGAAATACAAAACATGCATGTTATCTTTGGACTGCATCCCAGGCTGTGCCCTGTAAATTTTAATTTTTTTTCTTAAGAATCATCAGCTCCCATCTATGAAATTTAACAAGCAGCAGCCAATTGTAAACACAAATCTGAGCCACGAAGATAGCAGAGATGTGCATTCAGATGGATGCTGCTTCACACCATTATCCAGACTTACCAGAGGAACCACCAAATTAATATGATGGATCCTCATTTAAACACATGCACACCTGATACTACATGAAGCAGGCTCCTTAGCTGATCAGAATAGTACATACATTACCTACATACATTATATATATAATAGTATCAGGATAGTGATACTATAACATAGATGCCATGAACTATGAGAAGTCAGGACTTCGTAACCGTTCCTCCACCCTCTGTAAAAGGGGTAACATTCATGACTTCTCAGCCCTAGGAGCATCAGACATCCCATCTCACACACTAAACAACACGCAGTCGATATGGCCACAAGCTGCTCAAGTAACCTACTGGCTGAAACCCATCACCCACAGATTCTTACAGCCAGAGAGCACGAGCTGTTGTGCAACGAATGTAAAATAGCCCAAATTAACGATGAACAGCTTGACCCATCTTTCTACAGGAAGACTTTCTTCTAGTGGATTCTTGCACTTGTTTGGCAACCTTAATGAGCGTTCATAACATCTTGTGCAGTAACTCCTGCATACCAACTGCAGATTACAACCCTGATTGCAGAAAGTATCCGTTTGAAGTTAAAATCTGCTTACCACCCACTTTGTTTTCTTCAGTGCTTCATGAGGAACCAAGCTCCCTATTCCAACTGTTTTTTCTTTCTTTCAAGACCGTGATTTATTCACATCACCTTAATGCCCAGGAATTCAATTCGTTTTTCAGGGGTTGGTGGGGGTTTGCCACTGTAACTCATTCAACTCTTCAACACCAGTAATCAGTGCAGTCAAAACAATTTACTTTGTAATTCTCCTCTTACAGAAACCATACACTCAATTGCATTTTATGTCGAGACACAAGCTTTGCAAAGAATACAGCTGGTGCTGGAGGTTGAGTGTTGGCTGCATAGCAAGTCAACTGTGCAGGGCCCAAATTCCCTTGTTCCTTCCCAAATCACTCTTTCCCCCTTTGAGATATCCCAAACCATTCTATCACTAACACACACTGTAGAGCACATGCCCAAATGGGTCACCTCTCCTATCCCAGAGCTCCTGGAAAAACAAACAGTTGCTGGCTGTGGGTGTTTGGAACAACCCCACAACAAAGTGCCTTGAAAGTGCACCGAAGCTTTGTGTAACTCAGCCCTCGGACCAGATTTACTTCGTTTGTTGTTCCCATCTCATGATGTGGTTTTGGCACCAGGCAGTAGGAAAGCTAGCTCCAGAAAACAAAGTTACAGAGATCTGACTTGCTGAAGGTGATGCACGATGAACTAACCTTGCAAAGCAACGGAGACAGAGATTTAACCCAAACAGAATGCTAACCAGGGGTTGTGAGGAAAAAGGTTTAAAGAAGAAATGCATGAAAAGGATGCACGTTTATAGGACTAGCAACTCTACCCTTGTTCTTTCAGTGTAAAGGTTCAAGAACAAACTCTGCTGCAGGAAAACTAATTGCTAGTGTAAGGATGTTGCAGACACTGATAGTACTTATCAGAGAAGCAAAAGCAAGAGGGAGACCTGGCCTCAAGATTCATGATGCAATCCATCCCATGGATGAAGACATCTTGCCGTGGGCAATTTCCCCCCGTATCTATTTTCTGATCAGCAAAATAGGAACAGAAACACCTGAGCCCAAGTCTTCCAGCAAATATCCTGCAGATGAAAAGTCAGGTATTGGTAAAGACACAAAGCTTTTATCGACTCAGCATGGCCTTGCACCGCACAACTTGGACATGAAACAGTAAGAAACTCAATGCAATCAGCTTCCTAATGCTGTTGGCTTCTCAGCAAATAAACCAGGTGAACCCCAAGTGCATGCACACCTTTTTCTGTGTCAGTGAAGAAAATGTTGCATGTGATCAAGAAAGATGTAAAAGCAGATTTTATCCCAACGTGCAAGGAACCAACCAGCAGAGCTGCTTTCTAAGCCTGCTGCATCTTTATTAGACAGGAGGCTATATTTTTGTTAATAGACACATTCCATTTTGTTAATGGCTTGGAAGAAAAGCCCAAACATCTGCCCAGTTGCCTTGATGTGATGAAAAATTGATCCAGTCAGTAAGTTCCAGTCTTGCCCCCAGAAATGCACAGTCTGCTGCCCTGGCTGTTTCTTATTTTATCTGCTAGCAAGGAATGTCAAATATGCATCAAAGACTTGGTCAGTTTGTGTATGAAGACATTTACAGATAACCTATCACCCCACAATGATTGCAACTTGTGAATGCCTGCAATCTCCAGAGGTGAAAGAATCTAACACAGCCTCCCCTCGCGTGGCAGAGCCTTCCCCACAGCCCCAAAGCTACAAAGCATGAACTCCAGGCACCAAATAAATGCTTTATAAAGCCCTCACCAACAGGCAGTATCTTATGGGAACGCACGTCTTTACAATGGCACAGGAGCTATCAATAGAACAGGATGCTGATGGTCTAGGAAAGGCAGAAAACTCTCCTGTATTTATGAAATGGGGAGTCTGGCTGGGGTGACTTCACAGTCACAGAGGAAAGAAAAATGAGGCTGCACTGACAGCACCAGAGCTCAAAAAGCAGAGGACTACAGCAGCATCTGCCATAGCAGGGACATTGATGGCCCAAAATGCATCATGGCACACAGCACTCCTTGGAGAGGCAACTGTCATGAGAAATAACATCTGCTAGCCAAAACACGGCCAAAAAAAACAACAACCAAACACCCCAATACCCAAAAACTACAAACTCAAAGCCTACTTCTCAAGCATGAAAGCAGAGCAGGGAAACGACTTAAAAGCAGTGCTGAAAACAGCCGGGCAGTGCAGCACCGCATTCAGCACCGGCTGCTGGTGCTGCCCGTGATGGACATCAGCCGTGACAGACAGAGGGCTGCCCAGCAGAGCCCCATGAACGGCAGTCCCCAGCCCTGCCGTGGGGCCATAGAAACCCCACTGCAGCGCACAAACACGTTGCATTTACAGCACGCTGCTCTGCTGCGGTTCTGACAATCCTAATGGTTCCCCAGCCCTGAATGCCAGATAGGGACTTATTTTTTCGCTTGGATTATCGGGGATGGGGTCTTCTACTCATATTGTTCCAAAAAATCAATTAAAAATCAACCCGCACTGCACGGCAAAGGAGAAAAGGGAGCAGCCCCCGGCATGGGCGGGTTGGGGAAGGCAGAAGATGGTAGGCAGGAGCCACGTGGGGCAGCGGGAGCCCGCAGGAACAGGGGAGAATGCGGGGGTCGCGAGGCTACTTACGGACACAGAGGCAGGCTACCAGCTTGGCAGCCTCGTCAGGCACCGGGCAGGTGGGGAAGATGGGCTTCAGCAGGTAGGTGGCGAAAACCAGAGCTACGATGTACTGCGAGGAGGGTCGGATGATGAGCAGCTCTATCCAGAGCTTGAGGAAGGCGGGCAGGGAGCCGTACACCTCCAGCATGTAGGCATAGTCCCCGCCGGACTTGGTGATGGTGGTGCCCAGCTCGGCGTAGCACAGAGCGCCCACGATGGAGAAGGCCCCGCAGACGGCCCACACCACCAACGACAGCCCCGGCGAGCCGGCCTCCCGCAGCACCCCGGTGGGGGTGACGAAGATGCCGGAGCCGATGATGGTCCCCACGATGATGGCCACGCCGTTGATCAGCGTGATGGAGCGCTGCAAGGCCACCCCCTCACCGTCGGCGGGAGCGGCGGTGGGAGAAGGCGTGCGGGCGCAGCCGTTCTCCTGAGCGCCTCCAGCCGCCTCCAGCATCTTCTCCATCGCCTGCTTCTCCTCCTCCTGCGCCATGGAGGAGGCCGAGCCCGCCGGGCTCCTCTTTTTCACCGCGCTGCTGCCGCCGCCGCTGCCCGACATCGTGGCGGGGCGCGGAGCGGAGCGGGCGCAGCCGGGCGCTCGTCTGCCACCATGCAGCCGCCCCTTTTGTTCCGTCGGCGGTGGGCGGCGTGCGGGGAGCGCCTCCCGGTGAGGCGGGGAGATGCCCGCGGAGGGGCCGGGCTCCTGGCGGGGGGAGGACGAGGAGGAAGGAGGAGGAAGGAGAACCGGTTGCGGCCCCGCACGGTGCCGCCTCGGGAAAGCGCCGAGCTCCGCGCTCTCCCCCCTAAGGTGGGCGGTAGGGAAAAGCGAGCCGGCGAAGCTGTGCCCCCGTTCAGCCGCCGGCTCTTGGAAGACCGCAAGGCCGCCGGCCAGGCGGGGAGTCGTGTTACCCGACTCGGGCTGGGTTCTTACACAGCAGAACATGGCGGAGGAGGAGGGGGAACCAATTCTGCAAAGCCCACATCACCCAAATCCCGCAGCCTCATCTGATCTCAGGGTGCTGGCAGTTCTTTATACAGAGAAAGTGGTGAGGTGCTGGAACAGCTGCCCAGAGAGGCTGTGGAAGCCCCGTTCCTGGAGGTGTTCAAGGCCAGGGTGGATGGGGCCCTGGGCAGCCTGGTCTAGCATTACATGTGGAGGTTGGTGGCCCTGCACGTGGCAGGGGGTTGGAGATTCGTGATCCCTGAGGTCCCTTCCAACCCTGGCCATTCTATAACTGTGCTCACTGCGCTTTTCTACGTACCATGTTTGACTCAAACACAGGCCACGTTCCAGCTGCCTGCATTTCTGCAGAGGCACTGCTGAAGTCTGCCCTCACTTCTTACACTGAAAAGATAAATTCACAACAGTTCCTGCCAACCTAGCAAGCAGGCAGGCAGAACAAGCAGTTTCCATCACACTGCCTCAGCAAAGGCACAGGATCTGCATCCAAGGAGACTTTCTTGGCAACTTCACAACAGAGCCAGAGGAGCCAATCCTGTAACAAATTCATGTCTTTGCAGGATAGGAGACGAGTTTAGCACCCAGGAGCCCACACTTGGCAGTGAGCATCCTCACTGTGAGTGGGAAGTGGTACCTCAGAGGAGCAGTGTCCCAGCTGCAGGGTAGCAGGCATCACACATGAAGTCACATCCAGGCTTCAAATCCAAGGCTCAGTGCCCTTCCTCCCCAAACCACGCTCCTCCAGGCAGGTCCAACCAGCTCCAGGCATTGGGGTGGGTCAGGGCATTTCTGGAAGATACCTTCGAGAAAAGCCAGGTCAGCGTTTTGGGGGCAAGCTGTAACATTTGAGTGACATTTTCAGGTCGCTCACACTGGACAGTGACATTGGAACTCCCTTGAGGCAGCGGAGGAACGCAGGGCTCCGTCCAGCCGCTTTGGGACAGCTTGTCAGAACGTGACACCTAGTGGTTGTGAGCCACAGCAACACGCAGACCTCAAACTGCCTTGCTCAGTTCAGCATCCGTACTAAGAAAGCAACAATTCCCACTAGTTTTCAAAGGCATGCGATCACCTTTCCCTCCCCGCACCCAAATCGTCTAAAAAGCAACTTCTAAGCAGAACGACCACTAAGAATTTGCAGACCTCAAGCTCAGTTTCGACACCATTGCCATTTGGAAACGCTGGGCTCAAGAAGCAGCTGAGCACCACTGCCCCACCTGAAGTCACCCACAGACGGCTGTATTGCCCACTAACCTGAGTTCATCTTGCAGCTGTTTGTCCATTTGGGCTGGGAAAGTACCTGCTCTGCAGTTGCAGCGTTCAGGTGTGTTCACAGGGTGCCTTCTGTCCTCCAAGCACTTCACAAGTGGGATTATTGTGTGATTATCAGCTCTGACCACCAACTCTTCAGGCCCCCAAGTTGTTCTGCAGCACCTCTGAAGGCAATTTGATTACGCAGCCACTTCTCCACACGTTAACATTCAGACACTTCAATTTGGTCACATCGAAAAGCAAGAGCAAACAAGACAATAATTACCAATATCAGCAGTAAATTGGCCATTTGTTGGAATTAATGCACATCTTGCAGCTGCCTTGATCAAAGTAAGAGAGCCCACTGGAACCAAATAAACCAAAAGATAAGTTTCTTCAGCAAACAGCTCAGCTGTACTACATATATACTGTCTATCTACACACACAAACACAGTAAGACCTCCTAAGCTTCTTTGCTGGGCAAAGTGGAATGGGTGGCAGCTTCTAGAATCCTCAAACTGCAACAGTAGAGCTGGAGCTGGTATTATTCTCAACCTTTCTTCCCACTGAAATGGCTTACCTTTCTGGACAGCCCCCAAAGAACGGTCAGTATGGTCTGCAACCACTCATAGGGCTCAAATCCCTTAACCAGAAATGGTCTCCTACTGTCCCACCAAAAGAAGTGGGAATAATCTCAGCTTAGCACAACGTATCTATGTGATACCCAGGCCCTCAGCCTGGCTACTACGGGTCAACTAGATGAATTCATGTTTAGTTATTAGCCAATTGTTATTGATAAAAGCAATTTATTTTAATAAATTAAAGCTCTTTTTTTTCCTGATTGTTCAATAAGATTCATACCACCTTGAAGCAGAAGCACTGCAAAAATCACTACATGTGAAACTTCTCGAGAGCTGCACCACACATCAAATTATTCAGTTTTATCAACACTAATTACAGTGAAAACAGAGAAAGGAACTTAGCTGACAGTTTTTAGGTTGAGTTTAACACTAAATATGAAACAAGGCAGCTCGGAACTTCAAGCCTGGAATCTCCTTGCAGGCAGCATGCTGCATCTATCCCAATGGAGCAGATAACTGGACATCCATCAGCACGGCTGCAACACAGAGTTCATTGTCCTTTCATTCCAATTACAATACAGTCCAGCAGAGCCTTTCACAGACTGAAGCATCAAAGGCTGACATCTGATCATATTCCACTCATAATGAACTGGGTCATTCTGAAGGAGGAATTATTTTCTTGATGGAGAATCTCCTTTCTAACTTGGAGAGCTTAACTGCACAATGAAATACAGACACGGGTTGCTGTGCTTTTTTATTGCATGGTTGCACACTAGTTTAACAGCTAAAAAAATACAGTGACTAGAAGTTTCTTTACACCAAAACTGAAAAGAAAGGTCTGTATGCTATGAGTACAAAAGGCACTTCTCATTATGTATGTTGTCCACAAAGGCAATATTTCAGTAATAGGCACAATATATATTACCATATGCACTTGAGAACTTCCACCCTCAGTTCACGAAGCCATCCTCAACACGAGTCCCACTACAACATTTCAGTCACAGTGCTGACTGCCACAGGAACGTCTCTCAGAACAGTGTTAATTAACACTGAATGATGCTCACTGAGAAGCAATCAGGTTCAAGAACAAAAGTCTGTTCTGACCCTTCCCTACTGTACCCTCCAAAAGAGCCTGAAGATTCCTATGCAGACACCTTCCAAATACAGCTTAACTCAGTTGTGCAAAGTCGTTACAGACATGAACTAAATTAGCCAAGAACCCAGCAAAATACAACAAAAAACCCTAAAAAAAACCAAACAAACAAAAAGATCCACTTTCATTTCCAGCCTGTTAATTTTAACCAGAGCTTGCAACTGGAATACTGCCCATTGGAACCAGAGATGCTAAGACACTGACATGGAAATGTTCAGGCATCCTGGAAGCAGCACAACTGTAACAGCAAATCCCTGTAAAGCTTACTTGTTTTAGCACACTCCAGTTCATTTTTTCCTCTTCTGACCCTGTTTACACACATATGTATATCCTTATACATACATATATATATGAAACCCAGCACTGAAACTGAAACAGATTTTACATCAGGATATTTAGATGCTACTCCATGTAGAAGATAAAACACAAACACCACAGTAACCCCCTAAGAACAAAATGCATATCTTGTACTTGCACATGCCAGGAAAGAGACATTAGTTGGTGAAATAAGCTTGGTGGATCAGAGGTGCACAAAACCTGAGGGCAAGCAGGCAACTAAAACACTCTGAGCAATCGCATAAAGCTTTTCTAAAGACCCATTCACTTATGACAGCAAGAGTTTGGTTGCTTTGAAGAACTTTAACAACCACAAGATGACATTTCCTAACCAGAGTAACTTATATAACAATTCAGAGATACTACATTAAGCTGCTTGTAAGCAGGTTAATTTCCCATTGCTCTTCTCAGCTGGTAATTCAAACTGACCCAAATTAAGCCAAGTTGTTCCCTCTGTTATCCTAACACTTTACTCCATCAGTAAAGCAAACAGTTGGCTTCTCCCTGATCTCACAGAGCCTACTCCAGTTCTTCTTGCCACATCCATTTCCACATTTATAAGGCAGCAGTTTTAAATACTTTGGTTGATGCAGGCTGCCTCTATCCAGCTTAGTTCCACTGAGTCACCTGCATTGTTGAAAGCAAAGAAAGCATTACGATGACTGTATTACAGGGCTTTCCTAATTGCTAATAACAAAAGCAGGTTCAGCAATGAAGATTGAGTGCACTCAGGTACAAAGTAAAAGGAATCTCTTCCTATTGCCAGACTTGCAGATGCCCCTTTCAAAATTATTTTCAGAACCTGCCATTCTCTGGCAACGCCATTACTGAAGTGGCTCAGCAGAGTAGAAACACGGTATAACTGAACTGAGCTGTAAGGGCTTGGGAGAGAATGAAACTGAAGATACATACTGCCACTTGGAACATGCTATAAAGATGTACATACAACACACAGGGAGCAGAAGCCAGTGGAGATTTTCTTAGATCTACTGAGTAGTCACCCTAATATTAAGCAGCCACGTGAGAGGAGAAAGGCACAGCTGCTGAAATGTAACAGAAGTGTGAGGTAGAGATATTGAGGAAGCAAAGGCACGGATTTAATTGGTTAAGGAAAAATATTCAAACGCTTTGAAATCATTAGAGTCATGGTGAAAAGTGTTAAAGTGCTTCTAAAGTGAACACTTGGAGTGGGAAAGTATTGATTCCAAAGATGTGAATATGTCACTGACAAGCTGGTCTCCTGGCATCATGAGTCCTGAATGACACCAGCAACTGCTGACTGCTTAATGGCAGGAGAGGATCAAGAAATGCATCCTCTAAAAATATACATGAAATACAATCAATCAGAATTGGGCAGCCTGGTCTAGTGTTAGATATGGAGGTTGGCAGCCCTGCAAGCAGCAGGGGGGTCAGAGCTTCATGATCCTCGAGGTCCCTTCTAACCCAAGCCATTCTATGACTCTATCAAGATTGTCTCATGAGCACACAACCAGAACTGCTCTCAGAACAAACGAGATCACAGGTTCTACAGGTGAGTTCGTGCACGAGCACACTGCTAAGCACAGCAAAGCATAAAAAGTCATTCAGAAAGGTGCACTAGAGAAAGTTATGGCTAGTAGCATACTTCAGAGGTAGGCACTGTTTGTGGCAATTGGACCATCACTTCAGTATACAGCTCCACAGCTGGTAACTTAAAACAATTTGGTCTGCTCCTCAACTGAGTTCCAACCACCACTGGTCTGTGTTACCATAAGGTGCTATATAGAACAACATGGTCCCAGTAACCATGAGGGTGGGTAACTCCCAAGAACAGAAGTTCAGCTTCAGACAAAACATTGGGAAAATTGCACTGGTGCTCTACAAACTGCTGAAAAGAAATAAAAATCAAGCATCTGACTGCTGTGTTTTGTCCACACTCATCTACCATTCCATGAGTATCAAAGCCAGAATTTGTAGAATGGGATTTGTGGACATTTCCTGTAAGGTTTTGCAAAGTCTTCTGGTTTGCAGTACAGATAAGGCAGACTTACATTACATCCATTATAAACATGGGTCACTCAACCAATGCTTTTTTTTTTTCCTCATCATCCTATGCACCAGCTGTTGTTGTTTTAAAACAGGACAAAGCTAAAACACATCTACATGTGTGATTGCAGAAGACAGTTCTAGCCTCAAAACTCCAAAAGTTCCACAAAGGACCTTAACAGACTTCACTTCTTCACACCTCCTGCTTGTTAACATGTTGCAATTATTAATTTAAGCAAATCACTGGAGGAGTTATGCAGAGGCACAGAACAATTCAGAAGGCAGAAAGAGAAAAGATCTCCTGCATTACTTTGCCTTTAACTTTCAAAAGAATTCCTCACTGATCCCTGCTTTTAAGTGAGCAATTTGTTAAGAGTTTGTATTAAAAACAAATTAAAATACACACAGCCTCTCTACTGAAGCTCAGCTGACTCTCAGAACCAAAATTAGCTGTCTGTGAAACTGCATGGCATAAACATCCTGCAAAAAAGGAGGAATCATTACAGAGTAAGGTAAACCCAGTTACTACAGTCTGGACTGACATTCCGTGGGCCATCTATGGCCTGATCTGCTGAGCGTGGTCCGAGTATTGTGCTTCCATATCTAAGAGATGCCTGCTCTGGAAGGACGAGCGGACAGTTCTGTTCATTAATGGCTGAAGGGGGCGAAAGTTGTCCACCATCCTCTTCTCTTCTTCACCATCTGAAGTAAAGAGCAGCATCCGAAACGCCTCCAGCTGAGAATGAGAAATGGCCAGTTTAGCTCCTGGAATTCCAAACCCCTTCCTGGAGTTTGGTTTTCTTATACAGACATTCCTATACTGATGCTCAAGGAAAAAAGAAAGCAATCCCAACCTGCAACCACCTACATGGCTTTTGTCCTCAATGGTTTATAACTGCAGATTGAAGCATGCAGCAGATCAGATGTTTGGTCCTCACAAAGGGCACAACAATGCTAAGCAATTAAGATCTTCTGTGCCATGAAAGAATGAGAGAGGAACCAACAAAATGTATAGAAGTTTGAACTGCAAGAAAAGCATGCATTCATTTTTCCTTGCTTTCTTCCCATTCTGCTCCCTTACAGAACTAAAATATTAAGATTGTGTACATGCCTATTCTTCACCATTAATATTTGCCTCAAGTTTGACTTCCCAGATGGTCTAGCTGCATGCAGAAGTTTTATTAAGAATCAGTACGTTGTCCAATTTTGATCAGCTCTCCTGACCATTTTTCACTTCTCCCTGTATCTATTTCATACCAACATCACACTGTACAACAAAATACTGCAATAATAAGCAGCAAAGAGCATGAAGTAAGTCAGGGCTGGGGTCAGCAGACTGCCAACCACCTGAACCAACCTCTGCAGAAACCTCTGTCCTTTTAAAAGGAAATTGAAAATAAAAAACCTCAAGGACAATACAGCCAAGTAGTGAGCAGACACGTCTACAGAGGCAAAGGAGAGAAACCAGGACTCAGAGCCACCACTCCTCGTGCCCCCTCCAAGCCTGCCCAGGGGGAGGAGCAGCCCTTGTAGCTTCTGCAAGACTTCTGTGCAAGTGAACACACTATCAGGGACACGCACAAATGGTCAGAGTTCAGAGTGTCACAAAAACTGCCCCTTCTTCTCCCTCCCTGTCATGCGAAGGAGAGCAGAACGGCAAAGAGAAAAATGATGCAGTGTTCTAGTAAACAACCTTGTAAGTTTTCAGGGTGCGGTTTCCAGCACAAGGCTTCGTTACCAGAAATCAGGATGAAACTCCATACGGGGAGCCTGCCTTTACAAGGCACACACCTTGAACTGCTTACTGTTGAGGTCTTCAGCCTCCCAGCACTACCTGTGGTTAAGATCAGGATACCCCAAAACAAAATAGCGGGTGTGAAGCAGCTGCTTCTGTGCTTCTTTCCCTCCACAGCAACAGGCAGGCAGACGTGTGGTATTAAATATCAGCAAGAGACTTACCTGATTCTCATCAACCTCTATTGGCTGCTTCTTAATAATCCACGTGACTGATTCAGTAAGTGGGGGAGTGGTCAAAGAGCCTGCATATGTCCAGTAATCAGGGCATGAAGGTAACAGGCAGGAGGGGTCGAAGACATCAAACTCAATAACAGTGTCCTAAAACCCAGAAATAACTCGTTTTAAAGCTTGCAGTTTGAGAGAGGGCAAAAAAAACAAAGACAATGTTTAAAGAGATCTTAACAATGAGATTAAACACTGCAAGTGTAAAATTGTGCTGTATTAGTAGGAATCTACATAAAGTAGTAATTGAAAACCTCAAACTTGTCCAAGATCGTTAAGGTGGATTTGAGGCAGAAGCAGTTATTGAGCAGGCACAAGAAGAGCATGGAAAGGAACAACACACTGCAGCAAGTGAGACAGCAGTCATTATGAGAAACTCATTTTCTGCACATGTATTTTACCCTCTTTCAAGGGGATACAATCTCCAGAACATCATTTCTTTTTCTCATCATTTGGAAAGCTTGAAGTGTGTACAATCTCCTCCTTGAAATACAGCATTTTATCTGCAGTACAGTCAATAATTGACTCTATGTGCCCATCAGACTGACACATAACATTTATTAGAACTTCCCCATGCCCAAAGCATTATTTCTGTTGAACGACTGCTGGCTGTGCTGAATGATAACTGGTGGGATATGTAAAAACACTCACCTTGTGTTTAATTGCTGGCAAGGCATCCACCAACGTCTGCAGCCCTTCGTGATGTGCTCCTAGCTGCAAAAGATGACCAAGAGAGAATATTAAGCCAACATCCCACCTGTCTACCTTATCAGCTTTCAGACAAACAAAAAGCCACCTAGAGATATTTTGCACTAAAAGAGCTTTACCAAAATAAAACTAAACCATTAGAGCTTGTTATACCAAAGTACCTTTAAAAAGACTCCAATTACAGCCAAGCCATCGCCTTCCATCACAGCTTCTTCAAAAGTTGGGTACACCACAGCATTCCAATGTACTAAATGCAGCTGAAACATGAATCAATGAGACATCAACACACACAGCAACGACAGCAAGAAGCTTGACTTCTCATCTTCACTGCGTTTGGTTCCTTGCAATTTACAATGCTGCAGTGAACTACCACGGAAATCAGAGGCCACAAAACCAAAGCACAGTTGGAAGATGTTATTCTGATAAGGAACTTAATCCTGCACGTAATACAAGCTGCCTTAGTGCTGCTTACAGCCTAATACTTGCATCCTCCTGAAGGGTTTTGTGTATAACAGCCAGCCTACCCAGTCTGAGCACCCAGTCACAGCCTTGCTGCTAACAAGCATCACAAAGCTGACTGACATCATTATGAACACAGTAGTAGGAGAGAAGTTTTCTTAAGGAAAAAAAAAAATCCCCTTTGAAGCACTCCATTTCAGGTATATAATTATGTTTACTGCTGTTATACCACCCACCCTGAGCAACTTCATCTGTTTCGCCCCCTCGGCCCCATCCTCCTTATTGACTCACTTGCTGCCTCAGTACTTAACTAATCAGGGGAATTTTGCCACTTTAGTGATTTCATAAGAGTTAAAAACAGAAAATAAAGCAATCACAATAACCATTACACTTCCACAGAAATAAGAAACATACAAGCTTCTTTATGTTAGTAATTGGAAATAACTTTGCAACATTAGGCAGGACTGCAGGCTCACACGCACATGGGAGTCACTGCATACAAGCTGAGTGCTGCCAGATCTCAAGTCACAGATACGTGCAAGAGAACTAAATAGTGTTCCAGTTTCTCTTTATACATTGAGGAAAAAAGCAATATTTGGTACACATTCAGTTTTTAAGTGTGTAGTAATAACAAACAAGGTGCTTTAAAAGCATTAAGGATTGGGAGATTTGGAGGTGCACTAAGCAGCAGCTGAGATGTACTGCACCCACTGCACCCTCAACAGATCCCACAGCCCACATGAACTCAGGTCACTGCAGCTTAGGAGTGCGGCACTTTTTCAAGACAAACAGAAGTGAGTTTGTGTATTTTACCTTTACAGACACCTGCTCTGACTGTTACAGAGCCTATTTATGATCCCTTGTCTGTCCTCCTTTTAAAGGGGAAAAGGGATTTGTGCCACTGCCTCCTGACGGAGCTGGAATAGCAATGATTCTTTGCTGCCTACCATTGGCTTGTCTGCAGCTTCCTCTGTGGGCATTCAGGGAGAAGAAAATCTCTCTGAAACTTTCAGACAGGGGCCAATGCTTACTTCAATCCCACATCCTCCTTCAGAAAATACAGTCAATATGAACTTACTCATAAATAAGCTGCTTTTAAAAAAAGAAAATAATAATAAATACAGCTCTTTCTAGAAGCTTGACAGTTCACGCAGACAGCCCAAGATGCAGCCTCTGTTATCTGCACTGTTCAGGTTTTTCCTCATACCTCTGCTGGGTAGAATTTACTGTCAACTGTGTGTTCTGATCCCCATTCGTTGATGGCTCCCCAGTGGAAGTGGAACTGCTTCAATCTGTACTGGTTTTCCAAAGGACCTCCAACAATGACTGAAAAAAACAAAGCAAGACATCCACGTTAACAAGCATGGTTTGGAATTGTCCAGACAAGCAGCACAAATTCACCCAAAGAAAAGTCATTTGGATCAAGTATCTTGCTGAAACATCCCCTTATCCCTCGTTTACCTCTACAAATCACACTGTTAGGACAAAACTGTCCTCACACATCACTGTTTTTCCCCTGCAGTCCGAATAATGTGTGTCAAATTGAAGATAAGCTGAACAGAGTCTTCATGCAACTCCTTTCTGCTCCACAAGCACGCAAAAGCAGACTGCCTGTGGGAAACTCTCTGCTTCTGGGAGCCACAAAGCACTTTTAAGCAGGAGTAAACATTCAGCCTGCTGCCCTGAGATCAGAAAGCCATCCTTGATTTGGTAAATACATCAATGAAAACTTGAGGCCTGGTTTCCTGCATACGCTGGTTTTCATTCATTTCATACTAACTGAACCAGGAATATCTTGCAAAACCTTCCTGCTTGTTATTACATCAAGGCAGCTTAAAGTTAGAGCTCATAATTGCTTCCAGGGGGGCTAATAACAAATGCATTGCTGTAGAGACCACTTTGCCCATTCTCTACTTTACTGTACAGCGTGCTTCGATTTCACAGCAAGCCACCACATGAAGTACAAAACCCAACACTACTTCAGGAAAGAAGTTAATCAGTTTAATGCCAAGTAGAAAAGAAATGAGAGGGACTGAAAGCTTATCAGCAGTTTTTTAGTTCTAACTAAGTGCTCTTTCATTACAAGTAGAGAAGAGATAAAACAAGCAATGCATATTGACATTAAACTTAATCCACAGCTGCTGAGCAATTAGGATAAATACCAAACTGGCTATCATTAAAGAAAACCATGATGAAGTACAACAAGTTTCAGGGATGGGAAGAAGGCAAGGCCTGCACTGCCAACGCAGCACTTCTGTATTCATTCCTGACTATGCAAAGATGCAAACCCACAACTAATTACATTCATGTGAATAATCACTCTTGATTGGATGTTTGCTCACAAGTTAGGAATAGGCACATGTGTAGAAAACCAGCAGACAGAAGGAAGTGGCAGGAAAGAAACTTCATCCTGCCCTGCCCAAAAGCAAACACCCCACTGCAGCACTGCCTTCATCTTTTGCCAAAGCTTTTTTTTGCCTCATCTCAAGGAGTTGGGCTTTTTTTTGCCTATCTTGGATGCACGCCTACAAATTCCATTTCAATTTTTTTGTTGTTGTTTTCTAGATTTACTCAAAACCTTCCTTCTCTGGACTACTATTACTGTTAGACATAAGCTGGCAGAAAGAAAACAAATGAAAAACAACAACAGTGGTATAGGAAGTCAAGTGAGAGATGCAGACACTTGGAAATCAGATCACATACACAGCAACACCCCATGAACGTTGTTTGTCGGTCATTATGGACTTCCATCACCAAATACTACCCTCCAATAGCCATCATCACCTTTAACTGACTTTAATTCAAGGAAGATGATGAAGACGAAAAGGCAGTCATCCACAGAAATGCAGTGAGAAACCTCACAGAGATTTACCTCGAGCTTTCAGTCTTGGAAATGAAACAGAAGAGACCGTTGAGAGCTGTGATGCTCTGTGAATACTGAGCCTCAAAAAGGCCAGCACCCCTTCAATTGACTATTTCCATCTCATGCTTGCCTTTATGTAAACGAAAGACAAATTAAAAGCGAAACACAGCTAAAATCAGTAGGCTAAAATCACTGATGAGCTTGTTAGAGAGTTTCCATCATAAGCTCTCTTCTCGTTAATGAAATTGCAGTCTGTACTGTAAAAACAGGTGGTTTATTTATCATATAGGAAAGCCCTGAAATGAACAAGGAAAAAACGTTTCCTGGATGAACAGCTCTAAAGAATAAAAACAAACCAACCCACAGGCCCTAAAATGAACAAGAACGTTTCCTAGGTGAACAGCTGTAAACAGTAAAAAACAACCAGACAAAAAACCCACACTGTTTATCAGCCTCCTTCCAAATACCAACCAGAAATGCTTCATTCCCAATAATGCTGTGAAATCCTTTAAGAAGTTTCAGCATTTCTCACAGTAAGCAGTCATCTCAAAGATTAATGCCTCGAATTGACCAGGTTCAGATTTGCCCAGGGTCCCTCCTGTGTTCTCCTCCAAAACAAGCTGAAGAACTGACATGAATCAGATGTTTCTCAACATCCCTGACCAACCACCACCAGCTCATCTACCCTTACGAAATGTTCTTTCCAAATAACAACATACTTTGGTAAACTGAATTTTCAGAAGGAATAACCAACAGGAAGTCTGTAATTTGGTTAGCAGTCTCATCACTTTAAATCACTTGACTCTGTTGAGCACACAAAAAAAATTGGCTGCTCAGGTCAGAGTGCTCATTCCTAACAAACTGCTGGAATTCTTAATTGGATTCTGCATGCAGCCTCCTGCTTAGACTAAAACGAAAGGAACACAAACACCTGCTCCATGCAGTAGCAGCTCAGTATTATTTAACTCTTTAAAAGCACATTGAGATAAGTATGTGTAATACTATAACACTATGGGAAGCACAGCAATAATAGCAAGGTAGCAAAGTCCTAGGCTGCAACAGGTGAGGATAAGCCCAAACACAACAGCCACAAACACAGAAACAAAGGAAAGAAGTTTCTTAGCCTTGGAAGGCCCCAGGCATGCACAGATCTCTAGAGAGATACCCTCACCTCCACTGCCAATCCTTTAATGAGGAATGGGAAGGGTTGGATCCTGGCTCCAGCCCTTCCATCACTCAGGTTCATTCCATGCACCTGAGCTCCCCTAGGCTGGCCCTGCCTTCCTACCAGGTGCTCAATCACTGCTTCAAGTTGTGACTTAGCACTGCCACCACAGTATGCATGCTTTCCAACTGAAAGCAACTTTGCCGCTGATTACTTCAAAAGCATTAAATATATCTGTTCACATTGCAAAAGAGAAGCAGTAGGTTATTAAAGTTTAATGATAAAACCTTATGTAAAGGTAATTAGATACATGCACATATGACTGAAGATTGACCCACTTAAGTAAAGCTGTACTATTACGATACCCAATGAAAAGGCAGGGCATTAAGGCTTTGGCAGCAAAAATAAGTCTCACCCTACAACAGAGAATATGCGTACAATGGTCGCGTTAATGGTACAAGTGGTAACAGTGAGTCCCAGATAGAACTTCTGTAACTTCAATTCCCACCACTGAAAATCAGTGTTCAGATGAAGCATTCACCACATGCTCCTTTTCAACATTTACACTGTGATTCAACATGAGCTTTTCACAGCATGCAAAGTAGATCTTTCATAGCAGCACAGAATGGCCTGGGTTGAAAACAACCACAGTGCTCATCCAGTTCCAACCCCCTGCTGTGTGCAGGTCGCCAACCAGCAGCCCAGGCTGCCCAGAGCCACATCCAGCCTGGCCTTGAATGCCTGCAGGGATGGGGCATCCACAGCCTCCTTGGGCAACCTGTGCCAGTGCCTCACCACCCTCTGGCTGAAAAACTTCCTCCTAATACCCAACCTAAACCTCCCGTGTCTCAGTTTAAAACCATTCCCTTGCCCTGTCACCATCCACCCTCACAAACAGCTTTGCTGTTTACATTCCCAGCTTTGCTTACTCGATTTATCAGCAGAATCATCAAACTCCACCAGGAACGAATACCCATTGTTCCAGATGTGAAGACACGTTGTTGGGTCATAGCTGATCTTCAGAGGCTTCAGGACGGGGTCGTAGACGCTGTCTCTCCACTGGATGTTGATAGGAGACTGGCGACTGCCCCCAGGAATTGTAAGTGGGCTCTGCCAAAGCGGATGCACTGGAAGGTAAAGGAGAAAGTTTGGCTCTGATGCACAATTACAGAACTAATTACACACTAACGACTTTCTGGCAACGAACGGCAAATTGAAATATTGACTGCAAAGGATCATTTAAGTTAGCAGGCGCATAGGAAGGTAAAATTGTTCATCACAACAATAAACAAAAACAAGACTGCACCCAAAAAATTCCACTTGTGTGAGTCAGCTACGCAGGGAAGCGCAGCAGTCTGACTCACGGCTGTGGGGAAGCTCCTCTAGAGGCACTTGCAAAACGCCCATCAAAGAAACTGCCCCTCTTGATCGTTAGAAGATTGTTTTCTAAATGGATTTTAAGGCAGCTCCGCTTTGTAGTTTTGCCAGCACCTCCCCACATCCCCGCAGCTTCCTCCGCACGGCTCTGCTCGATACCAGCAGCCCCCGGGCAGAAGCTCTCCGTGGAAGTCCCTCCCCTCACCACAAAGATCTCCAAACCCACCGCCCCGCATCCCGCAGCGGCACTCACGGGCGTTCCGCAGGCGATACGAGCAGCAGGTGCCCAGGCTGCAATGCCGCTTTCCCCGCCACGAGGCAGCGGCCGCGGCCCGGCGTAGGAGCAGCAGCGGGAGCATCGCGCAGCTCCGCCGCTCACCGCACGGCCCCGCCCGCCGCCATGGCGCCCCGAGGGGCGGGAGAGCTGAGGGCGGCGCTGCTCTCCCAGCCGCCTTCCTGCTTTAAGGGACGTCTCCCTACCAGCATTTCTTGTCCGTTTCACGCAGTCAGGCTGATTCACGCTTGCTGTCACCTCACGTACCCAGCTGGGGTCAGCTCCGCTTTACAACGTTGCACCCACAGCGTCTCATCGCAGAATCACACAGGATCACGGAACGGCAAGGATCGGAAGGGACCTCAAGGATCATGAATCTCCAATCATCACTTCACAGAATCACAGAATTGTAGGGGTTGGAAGGGACCTCCAGAGTTCATCGAGTCCAACCCCCTGCCAAAGCAGGTTCCCTACAGCAGGTCGCACAGGTCGGCATCCAGGCAGGTCTTGAACATCTCCAGAGCAGGAGACTCCACCACCTCCCTGGGCAGCCTGTTCCAGTGCTCTGTCACCTCACCGTAAAGAAGTTCTTGCACACATTGGTGCGGAACTTCCTATGCTGCAGTTTCCAGCCGTTTCCCCTTGTCCTGTCTCCATTCACCACTGAAAAGAGTCCGGCCTCGCCATTCTGCTCCCCACACCTTAGATACTTACAGACCTGGATCAGGTCCCCTCTCAGTCTTCTTTTCCCAAGGCTGAACAGACCCAGTTCACTCAGACTTTCTTCATAGGAGAGATGCTCCAGGCCCTTCACCATCTGAAGCTTGAAGGGTCCTGAGTTGAAATCTGCAGAGCTGTTTGCTTCCAGTGACTGCACAGCCACGGGATGGGTCAGCAGACAGCATGCGATCTCATATGGATGGCAGGATTCATTACACCCAAATCTCCTTTTACTTCCCCTCCCCTCAATACGCCTCCCTTTAAATGCAGTCATTTCTTCTGGTGCTAGGATTCAATTGCAAGTGCAATGAATGCTTGCCTTGAATTCTTGCTTTTTGGAAGGGTAGATAACAGCAGGACAAGGGGAAATGGTTTGAAGTTGAGAGAGGGAAGGTTTAGGTTGGATGTCAGGGGGAAGTTCTTTGCTATGAGAGTGGTGAGATGCTGGAACAGCTGCCCAGAGAGGCTGTGATGCCCCGTCCATCCCTGGAGGTGTTCAAGGCCAGGTTGGATGGGGCCCTGGGCAGCCTGGGCTGCTGTGAAATGTGGAGGTTGGTGGCCCTGCATGCCCACTTTTCTCTAAGTGAAAAATAAGCCTCCCAACTCAACTCAGTCGTCTTTACACTGAGAAGCATGAAGATGACCAAACTTTCTCAAAGCCTTTTAGCGATTCCATCCTGCAAGGATCTCTAAAAGCCTATTATAGAGCTACTAAACTGAATAGAGTGAGTCAGTTCTTGTGGGCTGACCCACAACCAGAGAGAAGTTCTTACAGCGTAGGTTTGTGGAAACAACTGGCTGCAAAGCTGCAAAGCTGCAGGGAAATGACTTTGCCCCACAACACGTTTGTTTCCCTTCTGAGTCATTCACAGAACATGCATCCAGCTTACATGCACATGCTATTTCTTACTGAACACGCATCTCAGTAAAGCTTGAGCTTTTCATTACACAAAACTCTTTTCCTTCTCAAAGTGCTGCTTTTCTTTGCTTTGGAAACTGCAGAAAAACACAAGAACTAGCTGCAAAAAGAAACATAAGCCCTAAATCTTGTTCCCAGCATTCAGAAGAATGGCCCAAATCACTCCTTTCTGGACCATTTCAGAAACAGAACTTCTCCATGCCCATGTCCCAGTTAGAGGTGCTTTTCTCTAGACAGGCACAGCTCTCATGCTGGAGAGAATGACAGCTATGAGAACTGCAATAGCTTGGCTCCAATGTTTTTTGATATCATGACCTTTCTGGACCATACAGAGGATCTCAGTTACACCCTCTGTTGATCCTGAAGTGACTGTGCTTTCTGACTAAGAACTTGTCTAGGAACCTGGCAACTGGCCTAAGGGGTAACAGAAAGAGATACAGAACCGACCTGGGAAGCAAATGAAAACCTTACTTAATGGATCAGTTTTCAAACGGGCCAATTAAGAGCTACTATGAGAATTAAGTTACCGTGCAGTCTGCGCACTGACCTCATCTAAGATCGTTGAGGATGGGTCTAGTTTATTTTTTCCTTTGTTATGGGCAGATCCATGGTGCTGTCAGAACAGTCAAATGCTGTAACAGAACAGCGATGACATCTTGCAAGTTACCCATGAAGAAAGACCTATTAGAATCAATTTGTTTTCTCTAAAACCTTCCAGACACACACAGCAGTGCTTCATTTAGTTTCATAGCACTTGGAGGCACTGCTCTGTTTTCCCAAGTGAGGTGGATAGAATGGCACCACGGCTCCATGCTGTGAGTTGTTCTCTGTCATTCACTGCAGCTATGGATGCTTCAACAGATCCATTTGGACTAATTGTTAGTTCAATTAGTGCAGATGTATCATCAGAAGATTGAAGGTGTGAGTAAAGATCCAAACTCAAATACAGCTTGCTTGTACTAATGTGATTTTTGTTATTTATAACAGTTTCCAAGAAAACATCTTGAAAGCAACAGCTGTATGGTAAAACATAATCCAGAATCGATTCAGTCAAATGAAAGGGTTCACTGTCAGTTTGCTCTAATGTAAGCTTGATTTAAAGAGGCAAAACTTTTTTCATTGTTTACCAAATGTAGAATAGCTTACAGTTACCTGAAATACCTTTAATCATGGAATCATAGAATGGCTTGGGCTGGAAGAGGCCTCAAGGATCACAAAGCTCCAACCCCCCCTGCATGCAGGGCTGCCAACCTCCCCATTTCATAGCAGCCCAGGCTGCCCAGGGCCCCATCCAACCTGGCCTTGAACACCTCCAGGGATGGACGGGGCATCACAGCCTCTCTGGGCAGCTGTTCCAGCACCTCACCACTCTCATAGCAAAGAACTTCCCCCTGACATCCAACCTAAACCTTCCCTCCTCCAACTTCACACCATTTCCCCTTGTCCTGCTGTTATCTACCCTTTCAAAGAATTCAAGTATTAAGTATTTGGGGGGGGGGGGGAGCAGAGGGGCTAAAAGTTGCTGTATAAGGGATAGAAAATTAGAAGAAAGAGGACAAAAATTAGTTTGGAAGGTTGTCAAGTAAAAATGAGGAATCACAGAATCACAGAATTGCTCAGGTTGGATAAAACCTTCAAGATCATCATCTCCAACCGCAAGGAAGTGTCAGCTTCAGTGGACTTTATTATTGATGTATGTTTTAAACTTCAAAAATTAAAATAAAAGGCCTGTTGAATAAAGCCCTTTGTTTCCAAAGGGCCTTTTGAACAAGCTTCACTCTGCTCTGAACTAAAACAAGGAGGACAGGGCTGTGGGAGCAGTTAGGAAACCGCACCCATTTGAAAGAAATATGTTCTTTTTTCTTACATTGCGCTTTCCATAGCAACACATTCGGAATTAGAAAAATAAACATATAAACTTTAAAGGACCGTGGCTCTGCTTCAGCCACTTGGATTGAACGTTCGAGAGGAAATCCAAGATAGGTTGATTTCTTTGAGGTTTTCAGTATGAATCAAGATTTTGGACGATAATGGCGCTGGTTGGCTGTGGTCCATCGGGACAAGGTGTTGAAAGTTCTGCTGAATTGATGTCAGAGTTGGACTGTGATGTAGACCAGTTTATTGATAAACAGCCCAATGCTTTTTATCAAACGGATGCAACTGACAGAGCACTCTTAAGCTCAACAGGAAAGCAGCAGCAGATTGTGAAATGCTGAGCTTTTTTCTCTGCTTCCAGAATGTTTGGCAGAGATAGGAGCCTGGATGAGAAGGCAGTGGTTGAGGCTAAGTCCAGATAAGAAGGTAATTTCAGTTGGCAAGGTAAAGTAAATAGGGGCTTTATCTTTGCTGTATAAAAACATTTGCTAAAATTATGCACAGGGTTTAGCAATGCTGCATGGGAAGGACTTAATCTGTCTCGTGGACAGTTTGTGTACAGTTACTGCAATAGTGTGTGCTGTCCTGGAGATGGCACACCTGGATCGTGTGTCACTGCTGTATTTGGACAATTATTTAAAACAGAACTTCTTACCTTCTCAAAGAGTGAGAAAGAAAAAAGTCCTTCAGGGTTTTCTTTTTTCTTTTCTTTTTTCTGGCAGTGATTATTAGGATGAAGCAACTCCTTTATTGCATTAGAAGGTGCTTGAAACCCTTTACCTGCATGTATTATTGGGAGATACACAGAGCTTTCTACAGGTAGCCACTATGGTACTGCGTGTCACTGGATATTCTGACATATGTCCTGTGGTCCTCAGAATTGTTTCTAACATTGCTTCCTCAGTGAATTGCAGCAATTCTGTTTGTGCTTTTGGGAGGTCACAATGGGAATCCAGAAAATGGCACTGGGAAGCAGCAGTCTTTGAATGGTTGAATCTGTGTTATCATAGCTAAAGTCTGAGCATCACCACCTAGCTTGGCAAGAGACTGCTTCTGTGAATGGGAATGGTACAAAAGGAAAGGTAGAAGATGAATTTCAGGATAACAATGAAATGGGAAAGATCAACTTTACACTGAAGACAGTACTAAATAGTCCAGTTTTTGCCAAGCTTCAAAATATGGGCCACTTCTTTAATCAAGTCTTTGTCGCAGATCTGGCTGCTTGTGCTATTTCTGTACATAGCAGAGTTTAACTGAATGTGCATTTTGCTTTCAATGCATGTGATGTATGTGGTCTAGCCACCAGATGGAGAAACACACAGGCTGACTTTTTCAGAGCTAATATCTATTCCCTGGCAGCCAAAACCAACCATTCCAAAGATGGTATTTTTCTGAATCAGTTTGTTTTTGGCATTTCCTGCATGGATGTCAAGGAATAGAGAAAGATTTCAGTAATAAATAGCATCTGTCTCAAACCGAAGAGGAACGTGAGCAAAGCCAGATAGGATCTGCAGTTAGTTTAATAGCAGAGTGGCCTCGGGATGAAACAGCCTCGTATGATCTCTTCCAGGAACGTCTGTTAGCATGAAGTGAGCTTTGGTTTCTCAGTGCAGTTTCCAATGGACAAGTGCCCACAGGAAAAAAACATGGCATCATCCAGCTCCCTGTTGGGTTCCTATGGATCATGGGATAACCCCCAAACAATTCACACATCTCAGATCTCAGCCTTCCTGTGCTTTGCCTTCTGACTCCACCAAACAATTCCAAGTCAGTAAAAAGAGAAATAATAGATGAGAATCACATCGTGGTTTTCAAGGAGAGATACAACTGTTCTGGAGAAAAACTAATAAGCTAAATGCATTTACTGAGAAAAAAAATACTGGAAACAAAGGGACTCGGTACATGTAAAAAGTTATTCTTCACCATTGCTCCAATTATATTCACTTGAGCAAGCAGGCAATCTCTGACTGGCCTCAATACAAATCCCACTTAGATAAGTTGATCATCACTTTAAACAACTAAATCTTTGGCATTTGCAGTTATGTGTATATTGCACCCAAGGAAGTCATTTATTATAGACCTCCTATACGCAGGCTTTGTGGTTAGCTTTTCCAGTAGGCCTCATTTTCAACATCTAACACTGCAGTCTCTATTGAATTCAAAGCCATTTTGAATCCACTGTGTAAATCCAGATTTTATTGTAACTAGTTAAAGCCTTGCATGGCAAAGTTAATTATTGTGAAGTCTGTATCTTCGTTGTAGCTACAAGTTAAAATCACAAACAACCCACTAACGCTGCTACAGCACAAATAACAACAAATAAATCCAGCACATGGAAAGCAATCAGGCAGTTTGGCAAGGTATTTCTGTATTACTTTCACTCCCATTCACTTCTTTCCATAACCTTTCGATGACATTCTAAAAAATTCCCCTTTTTTTTGTAGCCAACAAATAAGAGCATCAGCTACACCTGCAATCTTTGCACCACCACATGCAGGCATCCAGCACTATTTTAACAACATGAAATACTTACATGCCTCATTCCTGTTTTTGGGAGTGCAGGTGGCCAAGCTGCAGCTTCGTGCTGGCGCTGAAGGCGAACTCCAGACTGTTTTCAACTGCTTGAATAAACGTCCCAGGCTGTTTGCCTTTATGCTATTCATCATTATCTCCTTAGCACTCCAAATCTTCTGTTAGTCAAACAGCCCCAGGAACCTTCCAGAATCTAGCAATGTGAAAAGAGGGAAAAAAAAATGCTCTGGGCATAACAGGTTCAAGGGATCTCCAGACCTATTTGTAAAAAAAAAAGATTGAGAGCACCCTTTCTTGCCTGGAGAGAGCACTAACCAAATAGTTAATTTTCAACTTGTCCCTCTTCTGGCTTTTCTCATTGGCTCTAATTTCATTGTAGGCTGGGCTAGTTGATGATTATTTGTGTGCTTTCCAGGCTTTCTCTCATGTGGCTCCAAGAACACTGAGGGGTTACAGAAACCACTCTTTCATATGCAAGAAGAGGTTTCTTATCATTTCTTCATGCATGCATTCTTAGAATAGTGATAGCTAACCACTGCTGTTGTTGACAGTTGTGATTCTGAGGAGTGATGACTGCCCAAGCTGAGGAATTCACAGAACTTTGTAGATAGATGAGGTTTGCTCAGAGCAGATTCCTGCAGAAAAAGATTTCAACTCTGAGCACAAAATACAGTACTGTGGCAACCCCAAGGTGAAGAATTTGTTCTCCTGAACTATAAGGGGCCTCATAAAACAGATCATTTCACACAGACTAAGAACAGACCTATGGAACATCACACAAACATCACTTTGGCCAAGCTGAACCACTTCTCCGTTGGGGACAACAGGGATCTCTGACCTGTTTCTTAGAGATGAAAGCATGAAGAGCTACTCCTTTATTTCTACACACAATTGCAAATTGATATGGAAGATCTATGTATTACGACCTCCCTTTTTCTTTCTTTGGGATGTCTGTCATTGTATTGCTCTTCCTAGCACAGCTGCAACCCCTTGCAAGCAGCTTCTCAGTTAGAATTGGATTTTCCCATTCAAACCAGGCGACTCATTCTCCAAAGGCTTTTCACAGCGTTGCAGGTTCTTATCAGCTGTATAGCAGTAAAATGGAAAGACATCTGAAGAGGGTGCCTAGGCATATCAGAGAACAAGAGGCAGCTCTCACCAAGGGCACAGGAGTGGGGAGCCCAGCACCACTGAGATCCTTACCAGCAGGGTGCCATCCTACAGACACTGAGCAGAGCTGGCACTGATAAGAAAGTCCACTACAAGCTCAAAACACAACAAGCAGGAAACCAGGTCCAAGGTCCAAGCAGGGAGCTTGGTCAGGAATAAAGAGAGACAGGGCCAAAGCCAAGCAACAGTGTGGGTCCAAAGTTCTTCTTATTGACAGAACCAAAGGCAAACCTAAAAACAAAGCTCAAAGAGCTCAATCTTGAGCTTACATGGGCTCCTAGGCCATGGGTGGAGCATGGTGGATGCTCCAGGTGAACCTCCTCAAGGTGATCAGGACTTGTTATTGGCCTCAGAGTGCTGACAACACACAGGTCTGGTTTCTACCTAACAAATGGTGGCATTTTATATTAGAAACAAATTCATTTGGTGATATTTTCATTAAACATGTGTATGTCTGTCATTTCTTACTGTAGTGTTTAAGTGCAAGGCTTGGGGAATCCTCCTTAGTATCCTAAAGCAGCAGGCTTATCTGTGCCATTTACTCATCCAAAATCAGCTATTTAGGAGGGTCTTTCTTACTGCTTGTCGTTTATTACCTCAGCTGCCTGCTTTGAAGTGCCAGCAAGTCATTGCCAGCCAGGGCTTCTGCCAGCAGAAAAACTCCCAAATCAAGCTTCTATTTTTGTTCTTTTGTGGGTAATCACATTTCATATGCAGAGTGTGACTGCCCACATGAGAAGTGTGCTTGCTTAGCCTTCCCAGAAACTGGAAAAGTAAAAATCTAGGGATTTCTTGCTGTCGCTGATTTCAGCTCTAAGTGCTCCAAACTGGACAGAGAGGATCGATA